GACCTATTCCACTGTTTCGAATTATTTCATGATCATAAACCCAAACAAATAATAGCTATTCTGATAATAAAATCACATAGCCTATACCAATGAACAAATCACAATCTTTATGAGTTATCATTAGTCTCACTTACCAATCAATGTCATCATTTTTCCACTGCACAATTCACCTGATGTTGAAGCATAATGAAATCAAAGTTTTTATACTATCCTAGGATGATGGATCAACAAATATTTTGTTAAAATATCTGCACATGACTACTTTGTCAGCATGACATTGAAAAAATTTAATATGAAGCTGGATAAACATAATATTAATGATTGCACTCATATCAAACGAAACATGATAAAAGTGTTGACCTCTAGGTCAGCTAGCAAGATATTGGAACTTTAATTATACAGAGATATTCAGTAGGACTAACATGGAAAATATAACCGAGGGGAAGATCAGGTGAACAGGTGAAACAGGTAAAATGAAAGAAACAGGTGATACAGGTGAAAGAGGTAATACAGAGGGACACGTTGAGAAGGTGAAACCAGTAAATTAGGCAAAACAGGTGATTTGAGCGAAAAAACAATTTATTAAGTAGGTGACACAGGGAAGACAGGTAGAAAAACAGGTGACAAGGTAAATCTTCGGTGACAACACCTCCTGGTCATTGTCGATACTTCTGCACCTCGGAATGTCTGCACAAACCACAACTAGACCCCCCTATTGGCTGTGACAGCTTGAGAACTTGATGGACAGCTCACCAAACTGTCGCAGGACCGCCCCTGATACACTACTAAGAATGATACTTTCCCAATTTTTTTTTTCCAGTAAGGAGGCAATTTTGAGTAACAATGTATAGAGACTTTTCCGTTGGTCGTCTTGATTTCTATCGAATTTCGGGCGAAAAACATACACTTGTCACTCACTTCTTTTTTCTCAATGAAATTAGAATCATTCCGCGTCATGACGTCGTACTATTTTTTTTGTTTTTTGTGATACGGTGTTCGGACTCTCTCCATGTGGTAGGCCTTCGCGATAGTCGACAGGGGTGTAAGGGTATTTTTCGATTTAGATTCTCGATTTTTTGTGCCGTTCTCGAGATATTTGAGGGAATATGAATATCGGGGCAATTTTGAGTTACAATGTAAAGAGACTTTCTCGTTGATCGTCTTGATTTCTATAGAATTTCGGTCGAAAAACAGACACTTATCACTTACTTCGACAACATCAGTCTGCACACTGTATCTCTGTATTCTATCATCTCACATGGATACCTTTGGAGCATATCAGTTCGCAACGAACCTATAAGACGACATCAAAGCGTGGAACGCACACAACAGGCAGAACAAGAAACTTCGACTTCGACTATGTTTACACTGTACCTTTGCATTCTAGCATCTGACATGCCCACAGCTATAGCAGATTCGATCGCACTGACCATAGACGACTGACCAAAGATGACTTTGAAGGACTTCGAAGGACTTATAACGAGAACAATAGGCAAGTGAAGATACGTCGACAACATCAGTCCGCACACTGTATCTCTGTATTCTATCATCTCACATGGATACCTCTGGAGCATATGAGTTCGCAACTATTATATAAGACGACATCGGAGCGGGTATAACGCACACAACAGACAGAACAAGAAACTACGACCCCGACTATGCTTACACTGTCACTCCTTATTCTAGCATCTGACATGGATACTTCCGAAGCATATTAGTACGCAACGATCATATAAGATGACATCGAAGCGGTTATAACTCACACAATAGGCAGAACAAGAAACTTTGACTTCGAATATGTTCACACTGTTACTTCACAATCTAGAATCTAACAAGCCTATAGCTATAGTAAATACGATCGCATTGACCATATGAGATGACTCCGAAGGACATATAACGAGTACAATAGGCAAGTGAAGATACTTCGACAACATCAGTCTGCACACTGTATCTCTGTATTCTATTACCTCACATGAATTCCTCTGGAGCATATCAGTTCGCATCAATCATATGAGATGACATCAAAACGGGTATAAGGCACACAACAGGCAGAACAAGAAACTTCGACTTCGACTATATTTACACTGTTCCTTTTGTTGGAAATACCCTGTTTAATGTCTAAATTATATCAAAGACCAATCAATCTCTCTCAGTACTCCCAATCATCTCTTGTTGTAGTGCCATGGTTGTAGTTGTTGATTCCTGGATTGTCAGAAATATATAAAATATGTCATGCTATTGTCATATCAATGTTATAAGGGAATGAAGCTAAAAATCGACGTATTTGCGTTTCACTAGCACACCATCCATACAGTTCATTCATTTCCTCAAAGATTTGTGGATTTCCCCACATTTATGGTCCTTCGAAGCCGGATGGTGTAGTTAGTTGAAAATAGAACATTCAAGAACAGCTCCCCGATAATCGGCAGAAGTTTGAAGATCTCGCATCATACATTTCTTGAAGATATGAAGCAGCAAGCTGTATGGAAGAGTTTCAGTTATACCATCATCGCAAGTTGGTTTTAGGACATTGCGAGGTCAGATAGTTCTAAATAAGGATTGCTGCAAGCAAAAATCTCTTTTAGTTCATCTCAAGTTACAATAGAAGGAATGTTAATTTCTATTTACTCATTCATCATGGACGATTTACTGAAGCAGAGAAAAGAATTTGTAAATCGGCTATCACTCGCATTCAATCATTTATTAAATGAAGTTTCGACACTGATATAGATAGGGAAGAGTTTGTTATTAGGGAATCATTTTCAATTGATAATTTCAAGAAGTATACTAGTATTGAAGATGCAATTGGAGTACTGAAAAAGTTACAATCTCGAGACAGAGAAGAGATTGAAAATAAATATTGCACTCTCTTGACTCAGTTGAGAAAAGTTACTAGAAAAATACCAGCTCAACATCAACAATCGATTCATTCTGAACTTTCACTCGAGCTGAATATTGAATCACCTACGATTAGTAATGTTCAGTTGAATATACCATCATTTGGTGGTGATGTCTCATAATGGAGATCTTTTATAGATTTATTCTCAGCCCTGGTTATTGCCAACAAAAACATTACCAACGTAGAAAAATTCGTTTATTCAAAGTCAGCTTTGAAGACCGAACCACTCACTCTGATAAATAACTTAGAATCAAGCCCCAGGAACAAATAAAGTTTCGCATTTTTCTAGTTCAACCCCCCTTGGTGGAACCCCCTCAAATATGAACTGTTTGTTTTGTGGTTATAATAATTATGATATTTACAAATGTACTAAATTCAACACTCTCAGTCACCCTATGAAGAAGCAATTTGTTCAGAATAATAAATTGTGTTTCAATTGTTCAGGAACAAAGCATACTATCGAAAATTGTTCATTCAAGGAATGTTCAATTTGTCAAAAAAGACATCACTCAATTCTGCATTTCGATTTTACTCAAACAAATAGGAATTCAATGCCCCAAACTAATAGAAATGCAGTACCCCCATCAAATAGGAATCCTACTCCTATATCATCAAACTCTCAAGGTAGGACTTTCAAGCCCTCGAATGTTTTTACCATGGAAGATTCACAGATGACTGTTTCACAACCCACTGGAACGTAATTTTATGAAAAGAGAAAGAAAAAACTATTTCCCAATGCTAACGGCAGCTTTTCATCGGCGGCATATGGGTGTGAGTTGATTGCATTTCGTTTGGAATGATAAAATTCAATCACATAATATAATTACAAAAAAAATATTCAATTTTCAATTCAAATAAGTACTGAATTGCAAATTTGGACGCCACTGATTTTTTTCAAGTTTTTGTTCACTTTGGTAATAAAATCAGAAACCTGTAAGGAGTAGAGTCAATCAGTGAAACAAATGGAGGGTTTATCTAGGACTTATTTAATGAATTAATTTTCATGAAAATTGTACCCATTTAAACGAATCAACAATGTTACATCAGTACATCACGCTATGTACAGTAGCTATTTACATATAAAGTATATGTTTAAGAAAAAAAATCTCATAATCAGAATGTTACATGTTCAATTTAAAGTTATATTCAAGAAAAAAATCTCATAATCAGAATGTTACATGTTCAATTTAAAGTTATATTCAAGAAGCCCACTTGAAAACGGTTTTCATATTCAGTTGGTGGAAATATTATGTAGTTTTACCTCACGGTTCCCAGGGAAAATTCATGAATTTTTGTGTGGAAGGTGAATTACGATGAAGATATTAGTGTTGAATATTCAGAAGGGCTTGAACATTTAGTATTCTGAGGAGAAAAAAAATCAAAGTAAATGGTAATTCAATGATCAATTATGAAATTTGAAAAATTTGCCTGTTATCCAACGTTGGTCCAGGTCATGGTCGAAACTTGAAGAACAGCTTGGCTGCATGTTACAGATTGAACCATTGGATTGAGTTTCCAAAAAAAAAAAAAACTGATGGACAAAATCCACAGCGCCAGAGCTTCTCAGCACACGTGCACCATCCAGAGCCAAAAGACAAGCAACAAAATGGTGTTCGTCGGAAATTTCTCTCCGGAAAACCCTCTCCACTCATCGAAAAATTGATACTTCATAGCCACCTTTCACACTTCATTTGTCAAAATTTATGGAATAAATTATCACAAAGGTTAAATCCCAATGTAGGTCAAAAATACATATCTCCTATGGACTTCTGCTAACCCTGGTTTACAACGATAAAGAGATAAAAAAGAAGAAGCCAAGTTGTTATTGTCGACTGTTTAAAAAGAAGAGTGAATTGAAGTTCTCTTTTCCATATCCTAACCTCACAATATCGACAAGAAAAACATTGGATAATTTTGGCAGATTTTGAAACAAAAATAAAATAAAAATAAAACATTATTGAGACATTTATACCCATACCCATTTGGACAGACACTATTTACAAGGAGGTAAGCTCACATAGTTATCTAATCATAATTGAATGTCATAATAGGTATATGGTTATCCAATAGACTTCTGACACTGTTTTCCAATTCTTTTCAGAACATTTCCAGCACCAAGAAATCATTAGTGGATTTACCAATGAAACTTACAGAGAAACCAGATGGAATATCAACTGGTAAGTTCCTTTTTTATACAAATAAACTTAAAGATAAATGTGTTATTGTGATGTGAATGTTACTTGACCAATCTTTTCTGTGTTTCAGGTTTCGACTGTGCCAGTGCTAGATAATATACAATATACAGGGGGAAACAGTGAATGTGAGCTATTCGATGTTGCAGGGATTTTACCATATAAACTATGTAAAAGTGTTGAATAAATTGAAGGGATCAATATGGTGTGTTCGAATAACAAAACGAGTAACGTTTTAATGGAGCTTACACTTTTTGAAAATAAAAACGTTACACTACCCCCTCCTAAAAAAAAAAAAGGCTATGTAGATAGACTATTTTAACTGGACAATGAAATTTTCATCATTAGATAGACTTAATCAAACACCCAATGAAATATATATGTAAAGATTTAAAAAATATATCGATGATAATATTTTATGACATGAAGATAATTTCTCGAAACGTATGAATACTATGTTGTTCCATGGCTTGATAACTCCGCGTATCACACGCCCATAAGGGTACAAATTCGGTAAAAGTCAAAATTGGTTCAATAGTCAAAATAAGTAATGTCTTCCATGAACAACTAATTCACGGTTTTGAAAATGTATCCTCACACTTAATGGGAAAACAAGAATTATTTATACAAGGTAAAAAAAATATATACTAAATTTACCAAATTTCTAGTGTTTTGGGATTTAGATTTGTGGGGAGTTTAAATTGCCCTGGCCAGGGTTGAGTGCAATATTTCCTATAGAATTGCCTCTTGAGCGTATAGCTCGGGGTAAAATATTGAATAATTTTCAAACAAAAATTAATCTAAGGCGGAGGAAGTTTAGCAGCGAACATCTCCCCTTTGTTAGACTTCGCTCTATTTCGCCTCCAAACATTGTCTCCCACGAAAAATTCTACGTTTCTTTTGCGCAAGTTATATGTCCGACAGTTCTTTCCATAAGCTTTATGTAACTTTTCTCTAACGTCTACAAAAATACTTTCTAAACCTTGAAGATTCGCCGCATATGCATTGCGATCTCCAGGAATGATTTCAACATCATTTCTAGATTCATTACCATCGTAAAATTTCCCAGATATAGGGACATGTCTTCCGAAGACCAAAAAAGAAGCAGAATAGCCAGTTATTTCGTGCTTAGCGGTATTGAGAGCCTGACGAATTTTGTGAATTTCCAAATCCCAATCCCAGTGTTCGTCAATATAACTCCTTATCGCTGTTTCAATTGTGCGATTGTTTCTCTCAACAAAATTGCACTGCGGAGAGTAAACTGCATTGTACCAAATTTTTTGGACTTCATATTTCTCGCATAACTTCCTGAAATTTTTACTGATAAACTGTACGCCATTATCACAAATGAGGTACTGAGGTATTCCATAATTCAAAAATACTTCATTTTCTGAAATTCTCTCTATTAGAGGTGCCTTGGCATTTTTCAAGGGGTACAAAAGATTATATTTGGAAAACCAATCTGAAATTACTAAAATCCATCTGTTTTGTTTCTTAGAGGGTGGAAGTGGACCAATCAAATCCATCCCAATAATTTGAAAAGGCCAGTTTACTTGTTTTTCATTACCCATCAATCCCATACGACCTGTACTAGGTGTTTTTTGAGCACCGCATACTTGACATGATCTAACAAATTTTAATATATCGTAGCGCATCTGTGGCCAGAAGAATCTTTCCTGTATTCTATGCAAGGTTTTGTAAAATCCAAGATGTGCACACAGTGGCGGGTCATGACAAGACTTAATAACATCTAGCCTCTGGGGCTTCGGAACTAAATATTTCCACTCTGAAAGATTTGATTTGAGAGGTAAATGAGATGGTGCATATTTAAATATATAGTCATTTTCTACCTTCCACTGTGGAAACTTCTCTGGGTCAGAAATGATTTTATCCCTAAGGTTGCTAAACCATGGATCGATTCGATCGGTATCAACATCAAAAAAAGCGATTCCACAAGATTCTGGATTTTGCTCATTTTCCGGTATTATTCTAGACAGGAAATCTGGGAGTACATTATGACTTCCAGGCCGGTGTACAAGGTCAAATGAATGTTGGCGCAGTTTTACTGCCCACCTCTGGAGTTTACCAGAAGGGTTCTGAAGGTTATTTAACCATAGTAAGGAATAGTGATCAACAATGGCTGTAAATCTGACGCCTTCTATGTATGGCCTGAATTTTTCTATACAAAATATTAAGGCTAACAATTCCTTTTCAACTGTAGAATAATTCCGTTCTGCGTTAGACAGAGTACGGCTCGCAAAAGCAATGACCCTTTCATCCCCCTCAATAAATTGGGTTAAAATTCCGCCCAAACCGGTATTTGATGCATCACTTTGGATGGTAAACTTTTTAGTAAAGTCCGGTTGACATAAAATTGGTGAAGATACTAAAAGCTGTTTGATTTTAATAAAAGAGGATACAGCTGCCTCGTTCCAAGTGATAGGTTGATTTTTCTTTTTGCCTTTTAGCAGATCATTAATTGGAGATAATATGGTTGAAAAATTTTGAATAAAACGACGATACCAAGAACATAATCCCACGAATCTTTTAATCTCAGTTGTAGTTTTAGGACGAGGGTAATTTACCATACTTGCAATCTTATCAGGATCGGTACGAAGGGAATTCGAACCCACGATAAAACCTAAAAATTTCAGTGATGTCTTGAAGAATTCACACTTTTCAAGATTGATAGTTAAGTTTGCCTCTAACAATTTTTCCTTTACTGCCTTCAAAAGACTCAAATGTTCCTCAAAAGTTGACCCAGTTATTATTATATCGTCAATATACGAAAAGATTTTAGGTTCATATTTAGGCCCAAAGATGGCATCAACTAAACGTTGCTGTGTTTGTGCAGCATTCGAAAGACCAAAGGGCATTGTCACAAATTGGAATTGACCTCTACCTACTACACTAAATGCAGTTTTTTCCTTTGAATTAGGTGACAATGGCACCTGCCAAAACGATTTTCTTAAATCTATCGAAGATATATACTTTGCATCCCTAAGTGATGCTAAAATCCTTTCGATATTTGGGAGCGGATAAGTGTCATGTTTAGTTATTGCATTGAGTGTTCGGCCATCAAAACAAAAACGATGTTCACCATTTTTTTTTTTAACTAAAAGGACTGGGGAGCAATAAGGGCTGTTCGTAGGCTCAATTACTCCTAAACGTAACATGTCGTCCAGCTCTTTGTTCAGAATATTCTGCATATATGGGGACAAAACAAAAGGTCTCTTCCGAAAAGGAGGTGCATCACCTGTATCTATATTTAATGAAATTTTTTTACTGCGTCCTAATCTGGTCTTACTACTGATTTCCTCAAATGAACTGATGACAGCCTCTGCCTGAGTTCGTTCGTCAGTCGACAGCTCTTCTATCGACCACAACTCCGGCATAATTGAAACACTTTCGGAGCTTTGTGCAATGTCAATGGAAGCATGTCCTGACTGAATTTGCCAAGTATTATCTTTAAAGTCCACACAAATATTGAATTGTTTGGCAAAGTCTATACCAAATATAAAAGACTGTGGCAGTGAAGGAACGACAAAAGCATTAACAATCTGACAGGAGTCTTCGATAACGATGGGTAAATCAACAACACCTTTCACACCTTTCTGTGTACCATCAGCCGTACTAACATGTCTATGTGAAGTTTGATTTACTTTTAAATTTAAATTTTCCAAAATTTTTAAACCACCAGAACCAACTATAGAAGCATTAGCCCCACTATCGAATAAAACAATAATATCCTGATCAATCAGTTTAAGTTTTATGTACGGTCGATTATCTAATGGTTTCTGTATAAAAACTGGCAAAACATTAAAATTTGAATCTGAAAATTCACTACTGGAATCACAAACATTGTGTCCAGGTTTACTAATACTTGATTGACAAAGAAATGAATTAGAAAATTTTGGCTCAACATCTTGAGGTTTTACTATATTATTCACATCATTACTATTATACATGTTATCAGGAGTATTAATATTATTGGTGACCTGTCTACTCTGGAGACTTTGCTGGTCACAAAGCAAATCTCTCTTTAGTCGTTTTTTGACCTTGAACAATTTGGACAAGTTGCAGATTTTACATCAGGTAATCCACATTTGAAACAGACAACTTTTCGTTTCGCTCTACAATCATGAAAGAGATGGTTAGCTAAATTGCAATTCCAACATACAACATTATTTGATGATTGATGATTTTCTCTAGGAGCACTGTTATTATTCCTAACAAAATTTGGTCTGTCAGTTGATCGACCTTGATTAGTATTTGATGGACCTTGACTAAAAGTTGATGAACCATAATTAGAAGTTGATGGACCTTGATTAGAAGTTGATGGACCATGATTAGAAGTTGATGGACCATTATTATGTCTGAAATTTCTATGTTGGTTACTGTTCCTAAATGTTTTTCTATAATTAGAATTCTGAAAAGTATTTCTAGTATCCTTTCTAGAATTATTATTTACTCTGTCCGTATTAAATTGTCCAGGAAGTTCAGAGACTTGGAGACTAGGAGTACTTTTTTGTTTGAGGTAATTTGCTTCTTCAAGTTTTCTACAATAGGCAGAAAAATCTGAAATCGTGTTGATCTCCACCAGTGCCAACTGACCAATAAACTCAGGCAGAAGATTCTGTCTCAGATATTTGATTTTAGTTACTTCCGCAGGAGTATGAGAAATTCTTGAAAAAAAGTGCTTCAACATGCGCTATGTAAATGGCTACTGGCTCATTCCTTCTCTGTTTCCGCCGCTTTACTTGCTCCCAGATATCCTCATCAGCATTTGCATGCAAGAAGTCCCTCTTGAGAAGAGCAACAAGTGATTCCCAATCATGAACAAAAGATTTTACTCTGCGAAACCATACACTGGCATCACCTTCAAAGATTTCAACAGCTGATTCAAACAAATTGCTCTCAGGTACTTTACGTGATTGAGCTAATTCTGTTATACGTTCTAGAAAATCATACAAAGTTTTGGGATCTCCACTGAATTTTATTTCCCAACTAGAAATGGGAGTTGAAATTTTTGAACAAGTAATAATTTGAGGTGCTACATTTGTCACAGGGGGATTTACACTGTTATTTAAATTCTGAGT